AGAAAAAACCTTTTAGCCAACATACCATATATAATGCGTGTGCGTGACAAATTTTAAACGGTATACTGAATGATACTACTCTGATGATGATAAACCATCGTGATAATGAGCTGTGACAGTAGGCATGAGAGCATCATGATCAACTAGCATCTAGACCCAAATCCCTTAAGATAGTTTAAATTTATCTTTCATACATACAATTTATGAATTAACAAGTAAAAATCAATTAAAATCGATTTTTTACCACTTTTCTAATATGGATATCGACAGAAAATTTTTTGGCACAAATCAATCGGGTATTTTACAAACATTAGGAAAATTTGATAGTAAGGAAAAAACTGATTAAAATAGAATACTGAATCAAAATCAAAGAGACAACAGAAAATAGGAAAAAAAGAATGGAGGATGTGCATGCGGATAAACTTATATTCTCTTAATCCACACTCACCCACACCCTCAAGATGGTTGTGTAGTACAATCAGAATATGTTGAAATGGACTATACATCATGTAACAAATGTTATATGTATGTTCAGTTTATCTCGGATAAGGATTACTTTCGATAAAATCTTGTTGTGTTTTTGTAATTTTCAAATATAAATTGTGTTTTGTTTTTTTCTTATTTCGTGATCAGTATCATATTACATGTTAAAAGATAATTTTTTAAATTGCGTTTTTGTAATCTATCCTAGCTATCATTGAAAGGTCTTCTTCTTTCTCTTTATTATAAACGAAATGCAATAGATACCTGCTATAAAGTGGGAAAAAATCCAGAGATACCAATTTCGAAGTTAAAATAAAAAGATAAAGAAGGACTGTACACAGGAAGATGGCTACCATTTAATTTTACATGTTTTTTCAAAACAAAGACAACATATAAATATACAGTGAAAGGTATGGAAATTATTTCATAAGAGTCAGAGAAGTTTTAGAAGAAAACATGTTTGCCAATTAAAATTTACTGATCTAGAACTTATTTTGTTTGCGCAAGGAATGTTATGGTTTAAATGACTTTCCAATTCTAAGTGCACTTATGTTAATAATTAGTGGTACTCTTAATTTTGAGTGTAGAAACTGAAGAATTTTAAAATCATATTTGTATTTGTGACTTAGGTCGAAAGAATTCTTTAGTCAAGTGGATATGATCGCTATGATGATAAATGGATCTCATAGTTATAACTTCAGAATATTTTCTATTCACAACATCAGATGAGGGCAACTGCATGACGCGATTTCTATAATATAATTGGCGTTTTTGAGGAGGAATAAACTAACAAATTTTTCATAAGTAGTGCACTTCTAATATTCCTGCTTAATTGATATCACTTTTTCAGAGCTACAATCAACATCACCAGAAAAAAAGTAACAACTACAGTATCATCTCAATCAACACTTGGAAAGTTACCTAAACCTAATTACCAAAATATGGAATATAAAAAACTTCTTATTGGCAAAAACGAAGAAGACATAGAGCTGACTTCAAAACGAACTACTGAATATGATGCATTACCAGAATACAAAGTAAGGGGTGTTGTGTTTAGGGGTGCTAGCTTAGTATCATCACTGCATTATCCTAATACTAATGCTAAGCCAGCATCTCTGGTTTTGTTCTATCTGAGTTTTGACCAGAAAAGTAGATGTGTTATATGCATGAGTTTGTCAGAAAAAGTTACGAAATAGAATAACTATTCTATGAAGAAAGATCTGGAAGAACTATTTTCATTGTATAAAAGGCAGATATACAGATTATGTGAGAAGAGCTTTTTGAGTGTTTTTCCATTAAGAACAACGGAAGAAATCTTATCTCTGTCAACAGAAATAAATTTTAGGTATTTTTTCTTTACGTAAAATAAACTTTAAATAATGTTATTACATTTCATGCTCACTAATACTTTTTACTATCAAATTGTTTTTTTGGTAAATTTATTCTCATCGATAAGAAAAAAATCATCATAAATCGTTGCAGTATTTTTAATATCGTCTCAAACTAAAATATTCTACATAGAAATGGTTGATTCAAGTTGACTTCTTATTTGTAGAAACATAAATATATATAATCAAGTTCAAACTTCTCATTGTTTTTTATTTCACTTCTTTTTCTGAGAATTTTCACACAGGATTAAAAAACAGTTAAACATATTCTTATTTTTATTCGACAAAATGAATTTTAAAAATAGATGAAATAAATTATTTCTGAAACAGATTTAATTTTCTTTATTATTATTCGAGAAAAGATTAACAAATTGAACAGATTCGATGATTAGTTCCGAGAACAATCAACACTTCCTAAAGAATTCTAAATGAATAAATTTTCTTAATGTTTAGTCTGAATCAGGGGCTAATAACAATCTTAAACAACCTACTCATCCACGAACAGGATCGTAAGTATTTGATTTATTTATTCGAAATATATATCAATCATTTTAGGTCTTTATTTCATAGAAAAATTGGTTTTTGTTTTTCAATTAACCTTGTTGTTCTTATCTTAATAACTATCATTAGTATTACAATATGGTTTATATTCATTAAAAAAGGCGAAACAACAATTAATACAACTACAGCTGCAATTGATGCATCGAGAACAGGACCAACAATTCTTACAACGTCGACAACAACAACAAAAATGATTACAACGTCGATAATAAAAACAACAATAGTTACAACATCGACGGCAAAAACAACAATGCTACCGACGTCAGCATCAGAAACAACAAGTCTTGCAATGCCGACAACAGAAACAACAATTCTTACAATGTCGATAACAGAAATAACAATGAATACAACGTCGATAAATTTACATACAACAACAAAGAATGGTAAAGTTTTGTTATAAAAGAAAAAATAGGAACTGACATATTTCTTGAGTTCAAAGAAATAAGTTCCATACCTATATTCCAAATTTGTAGCTCACTTACGCATTCATATTTTACCTAATGATATTTGAAATTATACAGTCGCCCAAAACAAATTAATAATTAAATACAGAACAAATCTGCTACGAAACGGGAAGTGCTATTTCCAAAACAGAATAACAATACTCAGCACTGAGAAGTAACACTCCCAAAATAAAACAAACCTACTCAGTACCTGAAAGTATCATTTTCATAACAAAACAATTGTGTTTCATTTTTGGAAATTTTGAGATGTGAGGGTACTAGAAGAATCATCCACATCCACACCTATATTTGATTTTTCATTAAACATGTTTATCAAGATTTCACTCAAAATCAATCTTTTCTTTTTTCTTTGATTAAAAACAAAACTTTCTTCTTATTCTTTTTTTCATCAAAATTTTTTTTTCTCGCCATTTTCTAGTATCAAAATTCAGTAAGTGGAAACAAAATGCCATCACTGTGGCTGGCGGAAATGGATATGGACAAGAACTAAATCAATTCAAGGGTCCTCGTGGAATCTTTATTGATAAAAAGAAAAATATTTTCATTGCTGATGGAGAGAATCATCGTGTTGTTGAATGGAAATGTAACGCAAAAGAAGGACAAATCATTATAGGTGGAAACGGGGAAGGAAATCGAACGAATCAATTGAATTATCCAACAGATTTGATTATTGATCAACAAAATCATTCGATCATCATTGCTGATTGGAAGAACAGACGAATAATTCGATGGTTGAATCAAAATCAAGAAATTCTCATTCACAATATTGACAGTTATGGCTTGGCAATGGATAAAAATGGATTTCTTTATGCTTCTGATTATGAGAAAAATGAAGTGAGACGATGGAAGACGGGAGAATACAACAATGAAGGAATTGTGGTGGTAGGTGGAAATGGAAAAGGAAATCAACTTAATCAACTCAATGATCCTACTTTCATCTTTGTTGATGAAGATCAATCAGTTTATGTATCAAACCACTACGGTCATCGTGTGATGAAATGGAGAAAAGATGCAAAAGAAGGAACAATTGTGGCTGGAGGAAATGGCGAAGGAAGAAATCTCAATCAATTGTCTTCACCTGCAGGAATATTTGTTGATGATTTAGGTCAAATATATGTGGTAGATAATGGGAATGGTCGAATAATGCGTTGGTATGAAGGAAAAGAAGAGGGTGAAATTGTTGTTGGTGGAAACGGTGAAGGAAATCAACCAAATCAGTTATATAGTCCTCGTGGATTATCTTTCGATGATGAAGGAAATCTGTATGTTGTTGATCGGGGAAATTATCGAATTCAAAAATTCGAAATAATATTGTGAATGAAATTTTGATTTTGAAAGAACGAAAAAAAATTTATTGAATAAATAATCGAGAAATAGAATACAAAATAAAGTTTTATTATTGAAAACCAATTAAAATTTGAAGAAAAAGACATATTCTGATAAAAGAACAAAGTAAAATCTTTTTGGTTTTTTCATGAAAACGCAATTAAAGTTTATAGTTTTGATTAAGAAATTCGAATAAATAAATGTCAAGTTCTTAATCCTTTGTTCATTTTTGCAAAGGAAAAGAGAAAAAAATATTCTGTGATTTGAACTGGATTGAAATAAAAATTATTCGAAATGAAGATTTTACCTTTGATAAAATTCTATTTGAGTAATTTTTAATTCACAGAAATAGTCGATTTTTTTTGTTTTTTCGATTTGATGAAATTTAAGAATTGTTCAAAACTTAGAAAAAAAGTAATATTTACAAAAAATTCATAATAAAACTCGAATTGATATGAAGGGTGTGTGTGACTAGGGTTGCGGATATAGGTCCGGGTGTAAGTGTGAAGATTAAGTTATTCGCCCATACTCATATCCACATCCACACACACACACACCCTAATTTTAAGTAAAAATAAATAACCAAAAACTCTCTTATTCCGAGTAGATCTGCGAAACGTTTTTACAACCATCATGTCAGTTGAGCTAGAATGCAACATGTATTTTAGTCAACACCGATAAACATTCGTTCGATGCAGAAAGTAATAACGTTTATTTCACGATTGAATTAACGATACCTAATTTTTCAGTGATAGTTGAGTTTTCGTATATGGAAAAATAACCAGTCAGAGGTAAATCATATAATTTAGTGTATTTATTTGAATGATTTTTCTGAAATATGTTGCTTTGAGTATTATTTTTTTTAGGTGTGAGAGTGGATACTGTATTTCTCTAGCACCATTACGCCAATACCCTCGAGATATTCACATCAGAATCAGGAATAAAAGTAGTACGTAAACAAGAAATAAACGACTGCAAAGGATGCGAAGATTAGAAAACTACTGATTAAAATGGAATATTTTTTAATTTATTTATTGAAAAATAAAAAAGACACTCAATATTACTCGCACATACGAATGATTCTTCTCCTAGTTTTCTCTTTGTTTACTCTATTCATTGGCTTGACATATTTGCGCGCTAACTTCTTCATAGACAATAATATATCTTAATCAGACTATGGACATCCACATTCCGTGATTTCATCACACAGTCATCATTGCTTATATATTATAGTTCTATGTCGAAGAGTGTCAAATCAATGAATAAGAAGAGACAAAGAAATGAACTAAAAAGAAAAGAAAACAAACGATGAATGAGTATTTGATAGAAATATGTGATTAAGCGAGTGTATGATCATGGGATTGGTTGAAGTTGTCAATCCATTGATCGAGTTCATCAAGATGATAGCTAAATGTGTCCTTGTGTGGTTCTGCTTTCAAAGCTAATTTGCCATCATAAATAACATAGAAACGATATGGCCATGATCCATATGTGAGATGGAATGTATTGTCCATATTATCGACGAGCATAGGCATTTCAAATTGTAAATTCTTTTGACACTCTCGAGCATTGACAAGTCGTTGTTCGATAGTTGTTGGTTGATCTACACAGGAGATGGTCTTCCCTGTTGGCCATTGATCACGAGCATGTGCTTCGGCGATGTAAACCACCAAAAAATCCATGCTATCGGACGCATGCGAGCGAAATAGCGCGCTATATAAACAATATTCATTAATCATGTACTTATCATAAAATTTAAAAAAAGACATACTTTATTCGCTCGGCAGACGCCCGAAAGGGAGGTCAGCTAGTTGAACCGGCCAACAATATCAATGATTGACCAGCCGGGATATGCGATAGAAGATTTGTAGGATGACCTTCCATAGTAAACAAATCGACGTCACGAATACATTGATCTTGTGTAATCAGACCTTGTGTGATTTTGTTGTGTTTGACTAAAAAATAATTGTATATGAGTATATAATTTCAATAATACACATGTCTAAGTTTTCTTTTTTTTAAAATTAGATGACTTACTGTAAAAAGCATCTTTAACTGCAGGTTCATCTGGAAATCGATACAAAGCAGTACGTAATGCGTTCACATCACGATATCCAAAGGATTCCACAACATGTTGTTGAATAAGATCCAATATCAAACTTAAACAGTATAACAAAATGTGTTAAAAATTTAATAAATGAATAACAATAAAACTTACGTAATAGCTCCTTCATCCTTGTAATATACATCCATGAGCTGTTGAACAGATTCGGATAAACGTATACCTGTTTCGTAGGCAATCATCTCACGTATAGTTTCAATTGTGGGTGATTCACTCGAGATTTTGATAGTTTCAAAACCCATGTGACCGGAAGTGGGAAAAAACATTCGACATAGAGCTCTTGAATAATCGGTTGGACGATTCGACTTAGATGGTTTTGGTGGTGGTTGTTTTTGATTTGATGGAAGAGGAAGAGCTGTAGAATTTGCATCTGCTAATCCATTACTAGCCACTGATAATGGTTGTCCTTGAGCAGTTATCGCCGCTGTTGTCTGCTCTGCGATTTTATTGTAATCTTGTTCAGTACCATTCATGAAATCTTGCTGACGATCTCCATGAATACTCTCATGCGACATTGTGTTATTGGATAATGTCGCCTTTTTTTTCTTTTTTAACCATTGAAACATATAGAAGATATATATACGTGTCGACGGATATATGCTTGTGCAAGAAATAAGCATATATTTGCTTTATATAGAAGCAAGAGAAGGTATAAATGAGTCATTCCGAAATATTATGGTGTAAGAAACATGACATGACTCACTATACACAATAAAAAAATATGAGATAAAGGTATGTTGGTAATTTAGTGTGATGACTAATACACTAAAACAAATGTATTGATGATACTTCCGTATGCACTTAGCAACAAATATAACTGAATATTATAAAGAAATACAGCATTTTATTATAATTTAATTTGTTTGTAATTGTACACTACTGCCATAAAACATGCTCATACATACGATGAATAATAATAATAAAATAAAGAAACGACAAATAAAATGATAACATTGAAACATTAATATATTAATCTATTCAACATAATATTATAGATAATCCAAATTTATGTAAATTGATTATGTATATGACTGTCTAATTGTTCTCTACTACTAACATTCTTATATTTCCCGATATGTGCACAATATTAATAACAAAAATGAAAATAAAGTCAAACAATAACAAGATGAATGTATGATATATTCATTATTATTCTCGTTCATATTCTCGAGATCAAGTTATTTTACTACGAGACGTAGACAAAACTGAAAATTCGTGTATGAATATTATTTTTATTTCATTCTCGTTCTAAAGATTTTAATTGTTTATCATTTGAAAAATTCAAATCAATATTTTTTTACATTTGATCTGTAATAAAACGATCAGAAATACATTTATTTATACGAATTTGAATACGAAAGAACATAGAAAATGTATAAAAAATAATAATACTATATAATCATTTACTGTAATATTTTTTAAACTACATAGAGATATGAAAAAAGATGAATTACTAAAATTAAGTAGGATTCATTCCTAGTAAAAATTTACTATTTGATTTTTGATACGAATAGAAAATGATAATGAATAAGTTGTGTTATATGACTGAAAATTCTATTGAAGACTAAAATATCAATGCATATGTATATTAGAGACTAAAGGCAGACATTATCATCTAGTTGTTATAAATAAAAGTCATGTGTGCTTACAGTTCACACTTTTAATGCTTTTGCTGTGATAATATTTCGATGTTTTATAGATTTTATAAGAAAAAAAAGAAATATTTCATATGAATAAAACATTGCTTTGATGAAAACATATAAGATGTAACTATAGAATGAATTGTTTTTTGAAGATTGTAAAAATATTTGATGTGGAATTTTGTCGGATATTAATTATTACTTTTCAAAAGAATATCAAACAATAGAAAGAAATATTTTTCTTCTTTATATAAAAACAACATGATTTTATTCGATACAATAAAAATCCATCGCATACAATCTTGTTTATTCTTATCTCGAAAATAAAAAACGTACATAGTTAAGCAAGGATGCAGAATACGCTCTTGTGCACGAACGCACGTTCTGGGAAATATTTTTAGATGAAAATATTATTTTATATGTAAATGATCTGATGTGTTTATTAGAGTAGAAGATATTCTAAACATATTGTAGTCTCATTTCTCTTTTCATTTCTTTTACTTGAATACTAACGAGAAATTTTTCTACGTCAGAAGCAAGTTTTCGTTTTACGGAAGATTCTGTACCGTGAGTGTAGATGTGATTATTATTTTCATAATACCACCATTGCACTTAAGATATTACATTAGTTTTATTAGTCGAATTTTGTCATAAACAAAGAATCTTTTGTTGCGATTTCTTTTACTACCGAGCAATGCTTTTATTGTCATTGAATTATTTAGAATATATTTATAAAAGTAGATAAATAGATTATTCATTTCTTCTGCCAACTTCTATTCAACCACATGGCAATGACAAATAACAAAACACTATGTTTTACATGTAATAAAGAAAAAATAACATTTCCTTGTAAAGGATGTTCAGAAGAATTCTGTTTAATACATTTCACAGAACATCAACACATATTGAGTGAAGAATTAAACCGTATTATTGATGATTATGATCAATTTAAACAAAAAATTAATGAACAAACACAAAATCCACTAAATCATTTATTAATAAAAGAAATTAATCAATGGGAAAGAGATTCAATTGAAATAATTCAACAAAAAGCACAGCATTGTAGACAAATTGTTATTGAATATTTATCAACATTCTTTAATAATATCGAAATGAAATTCAATGATTTAAATGAACAAATAAAACAAATTCATCAAGAAAATGAATTTAATGAAATTAATTTAAGTTATTTAACAAATGAATTAATAGAAATTACAGAAGAATTAAATAATTCATCAAAGATTTATATTCAACAAGATTCACAATCATTTATTAATGATATTTCAATTATTTTATCAAAAAGTAAGTTTTTCAGAAATAATTTCTAAAAGAAAAATTCTGATGAAAATGAGAAAAACCAATTCAGAATTTTAATATAAATAGAAAATAAAATGTATTCATAAGTAAAAGAAAAAACTGATAAGATAAGAAATAATATTTGATTAAAAATTGTTTTCATAAATCATCTCAATTTAATTTTTTTTATCATTTTAATGTTGATTCGATAAGAAAACTAAAAAAACTTTTATTTTCATTATTTTCCAGAATCGAAATTGAACAAATGGAAACAAAATGCAATTATTGTGGCTGGTGAAAATGGATATGGGCATGAATTAAATCAATTCAATGGCCCTTATAGAATCTTTATTGATGAAAACAAAAATATTTTCATTGCTGATCTTAATAATCATCGTATTGTTGAATGGAAATGTAATGCAAAAGAAGGACAAATCATTGCAGGTGGAAATAAAGAAGGAAATCGAATGGATCAACTGAATCGACCAACAGATATGATTATTGATCCACAAACTCATTCGATCATCATTGCTGATTATGTGAACAGGCGAGTGATTCAATGGATGACTCAAGATCAACAAATTCTCATCAAGAATATTGACTGTTATGGCTTGGCAATGGATAAATATGGATTTCTTTATGTTTCTGATTATAAGAAGAATGGAGTGAGACGATGGAAAATGGGAGAATATGACAATGAAGGAATTGTGGTGGTAGGTGGAAATGGAATAGGAAACCAACTCAATCAACTCAACTGTCCAGGCTTTATCTTTGTTGATGAAGATCAATCTGTTTATGTATCAGATCAAAACAATCATCGTGTGATGAAATGGAGAAAAGATTCAGAAGAAGGAATAATTGTGGCTGGAGGAAATGGTCAAGGAGAAAATCTCAACCAATTGTCTTATCCTCAAGGAGTCATTGTTGATGATTTGGGTCGAATCTATATGGCAGATTGTTGGAATGATCGAATAATGCGTTGGTGTGAAGGAGAAGAAGAAGGTGAAATTGTTGTTGGTGGAAATAGAAGAGGAAATCAATTGAATCGTCCCATGGGTTTATGTTTTGATGATGAAGAAAACCTTTATGTTGTTGATTATTTGAATCATCGAATTCAAAAATTTGAAATAATTTTGTGAATAAAATTTGTAATTTGAAAAAAAAGAAAAGAAATCTTTTGTTAAATAAAGATAAAAGAAAAGGCCAAGTTTTGTTCTTGAAAGTTAATGAAAAAATTAAATAAATTATTGATAAGAAAAAGATGTGGGTGTGGGTGTTATGCTGATATCATGTACCATATACTCACACACTCATCCCTCAAGAATAGAGTCTTTCTGTATGCACGCTCGTACGCTTTCTATTCAAATTATTTGTTTATTTTCAAAAAATAATCATTTACAATTTGTTTTTAACATCTTCATGGTTGCTTTTCCATTCTTGAAGATGAGCATGATTTTCAGGCAATGAACATTGTCCAATCCCAACAGCCCGTGTATAATACAAAAATGCTTTCGAAATTCGAATATTCCTGCATACCGTCGTACACCAAACCAATATTATTGTGCGAAGTAACGAAATCAGGATGATTTTTAGGGAGAGATTTTTGGCAAATTCCCACTGCTCTTTCAAGATATGAAAGTGGTTTTGAGTACTCATTCACCATTGCCATCTCTATATTTAATTTTATAGTAATAAATTATAATTATATTTTTGAAGTGATGGATTCGTTTATTGCGTACATATCAGAAGATTACGCGCTATACAATGATATCATAGTTTGGCGATGGATTATATAACTAACGGTGCGATCAGCTTCTGTTGTGTCTATGCAAACAAATAATGACTATTATGTCGAGCGGTCAAAATTTCTGTATATTCTTTTCTAATATCATACGTAAAATTATTTTTTCAGATGATTGTATTAATTATATTATATTTAATGAATCTTTCACTTTTGTAGATATACATTATTATTTTATTTGTAGTATCAGATATGCGATCAAAATAATCAGAACAAATAAGAAGACTACAACAAGCCGAACTGATTACGAGGGCACATCAAGTAGTCCTGCAAAGGAAATATATAACCGCTAGGAAGATTCAAAAATTTGAACCCGGAGACGAAGCTAGCGTTGATTCACGAACTGATCGTACTCGTGGTATGATTCTAATGATTGGTGAAAGTGCTAATTTTTGAAAAGAAACAGGAGATGTTGCTTCAAATTTAGGAACGGAAAATCAATGCAAAAACTCACTATTTGTTATCGAAAAAGCAAACAATTCAAGAAACAACATAAAAATGATAAAAGAAAATGTAATGATAAACTCGAAAGTAAAATGAATCATGTAAAGAATGGTGAAATACATAAAGATAATGTTCTTTACATTGACGATCAGCCTTCATTAAAAGATGCTCCTATATTGAATTCTATTAGTTCTCAATCAATCATTTCAATTGAGTATTTCTATTGAAACTGATTTACTTATAGTCTGTATGTCTACTTTTAGAAGATCCAGAATCAACAACCACTACTGCTAAAAAGCGAGAACGTTTAGATGAAGATGGTGATGAAACACGTTCAAAATCTAACATCCTTAACGTTGACATTAAATGTTAATGGTATACAGCATAATAAAGGATCACAACAATCTTATGGCCGATCTTTAGAACATCATTTTAGCAGGTGTGTGGCCAGGTCCTAAGAAGCCAACAAGTTCTGACATGAACCTTTTTTACGTCCTCTTGTTAATGAACTCATTACACTCGATCAAGGTGTAATATTTAATTTGCTTAATGATAACAAGACTTTGATTACGAGATGTGCCTTTCTAATTGGATCGTGCTGTGATAAACCTGCGCAAGCATTACTTCAGGTTTTACTAGAACCAACAGCTGCATATGGATGTGGTAAATGCGAGATAAAAGGTACATTAATTTTTATAAAGGAACAGTGATTCTAAGAATAATAGTTGTAGGTTTCATGATATGAACTGGGAAAGATGGAAATGTACGAAGTTTTGGTATGACATCGAACGAATTGGAAGAGACGTATCTTCGATCCAACACGCGATATGACATGCTGTCAATTTAAAGGCGTTTCACAAACGGATATTACAGTCAATTTCATGTTGAAACAGGAAATCATAGATCGAAAAGTACAATACAGAAGAAAAAAGAAATCCTTGGGCCTCGTATATTACGAGAACTATTACACTTCGATGTCGGATATTCATGTATGGCAGTTACATTGCATAATGTTTACACTGGAGCATTCGTATGTAAAAAATCCTAACATTTTTATGATATTTTTGAGTTCTTTTATGTTTAGAAAAGATGTTACGATTATGGTTTGATCAAGATTAATGGATGAAAGATTGACTTGCTTCATATTCTAAATTTAAAGCAAATGAAATGCGAATATTGCTATTATTCGAATATGTTATCTTCAAGAATGTATCGAAAAACCGTTACTACATTCATTCTTAGAATCGGTAATGATGATGCATGTGTCGGAAAACAAAGAAGTTTCCCTCTGGGTAC